TGAAGTTTGCTAAAGTTGTAAGTGACTGAGTAAAAGGTTTTAACATATAAACTGGCAGACTGTCTCTTAACAATAAATGTCTAAAATAAAAGGGATAGTGAGGAGGCAGATGCTCAGGAAAATAACGAATCGGGGACATTTTCAAGAAGTTAGATACAATTTACAAAAATTGGTCTTTTTTGCAAGAAAAAATCCAGAGGTTTTTTGCTGCTAGTTATTTCTCTCTCACCCTCTCCATGGTAGAACTTCTTTGAATTTATTGTGATTAGCTGGAACAATTTACTGTTATTTTCCCCCCACCCTTGCCCATTTGCTACAATTCCTCTGTCCTCATATTTTTCTTGCCTTGCTTGAGCTCTTACAGTTACTTCATCCTGCTCTGTCTATGGGGATTTTTTTCCTGATGTCTTTATATGTGTTACCATGCCATCTCTTCTGAAGCACACTATTTCAGAGTCTTCTTTGCAAGAAACCTATCATCCAGCCTCACCATTTACATTTTTATCTCAAAATCTGGAGTAGATTGCAAATAATCCAACATCCAGTGTTGCTGCCCAGATTTTTTTTGTTAGCAATAAATTATGCCCTGCACTGATTTATACTGTGTGACCCTACACAGTCTGTTGAAGGAAAGATTCATCATTTTGGTTCTGTCTGGGTAAAACGGGGTCACACTTTTATGTTGCATTTTCATTGGTAACAAGCTTAAGGGATTAATAAATGATTAATAGCTGCTATAAACATTTTACTGACCCAAGCTGCATAACTTAATAGGTAATTATAAGCATGTCAGTAGAATGTGGTAAAGACAGTTTTAAGCAACTTATTGACTTTGTAATAAACTTCAAGAATTAATAATTTATTTAAAACATTTATTAATCATTTATTAACATTTATCAGCTACATAAAAATATAAAGTTTGACCAAAGAGAGGCTAACGTACAAGGACTATCTAAAAATTGTACCTTCTTCCACTGTTGTTTTTCTTACTTTTGTGTGCATACTGATGACTAAATATGGCCCTTATTCTTCAAAAGTTTATACATGTGCTCCATTTCACTGCATGAATCAATATGTTCATGAAGCTAAGTATGTGCATAAATGTTTGTAGGATTTGAGTCTCTGACTGCCAGCTCAGCCAGGCTAATATGAATAAAAGATAAGACAAAGTTATAGGAGAGGGAACCAATGTAGGTCTCTACATCAACAACACAGGACGCTTGTACACATGACAGGGGTTCAGTTCTCAGGGTTTTATTCTGTGCCCCCTAAATTAAATGGCTTAATCCTCAGGGTTTTATTCCATGTCCCACTGTTTCAAATTTGTCCATCACGTTACAGCAAGGGGCCTGATCCTTTCTTTTTTATTTGTTTTTTTGTTGGAGCCAGAGCCTGCCTGCGGCCAGGGGGCAAGCTGCTAGCAGGCCAAGTGGCCCCTGAGCTGTGGGGGACCCTGTTCCTTCTCTCTGCTGTGGTGATGCCCCCTGGGGCTGCCCAGAAGGGCTGCTAGTGGGCTGGGTGCTGCCCCAGCCTGGAGGTGGCACCCAGCCTAATCCAACTCATCCCCGAGCCCAAGCTGGGGCAGCACCCAGCCCACTAGCAGCCAATTGCCTCTCTCAGGAGCACTTCTCCTTTATGTTCCTTGCTTAATCAATTCAGGTGAAATTTCTTTGAAAATCCCATTTCTCCCCCCCCCAAACCAGCCTCATTTAAAGTCTTGAGAATGTTCCTTCAGACCTATCCAGGGAATTGTTACTGTGCTTACACTGTAGGGTCCTCTTGCCCTGTGCTTTCATATCAATGGCACATAATGTGGTACAAATAATTTCATGGTATGTTTTCCCTTGTAACAGTTGTGCTGATGAGGCTAAAATGGGTCTTTCTGTTCTTGCTTACAATGACATTCCAGTTCATGCTTCTTGTTATTCTGTTGCTTTCCTTGGTATGAGTGCTAATTGCCTAAAATTAAGTATAGAGCAAACTGAAATATTGCTCTCTCCCAGAGTTCACACTTCCTTTTCCAGGTTTCCATATCACTTGTTCTTCAGTTACTTATGCTCAATATGCCAGTACTCTCTGAATCATTCCTAACCCCTTTCCAGTGTTACAGTCTTGCAAAGGTTCCATAGCTAAATTCTGTCATTGTCGTTATTCAATATTGACTAAATGCATCCTATTCTTACTGCGCGTAGTATGAAATCATTTGTACATGCTCCTATTTGTGGTTTCTGTGGGAATCCTTCTCTCTGTCTTCCTCAAAGACATTCTTCAAAACTTACCAGCTACATTAATTAACAGTCTACCATGGTTTTTTTCTTCTGTTCCCCTTTTCATAAAATGGCACTGATTACCCAGTACCATGTAAAGTACCATGGTCTGATTGTTTTTGGGTAAATCTGAAGCTACTCCATTGACTTCATGACATTTCTTTGGAGGCGATTCTTATTTTGCCTAGTTTGGCATAAATTCAGAGTTACTTCCTTGGCTTTACTGCATGGCTTTAGAGTGGATTCTGATTTCAGTTTCATCAGCCTACCCCAAAGTCACTCCACTGGCTTCACAACATTACCCTGAATTAGATTTTAGTTTCAGTCATACCAGAAAGAATCCAAAAGCTTTCCCTTGGCTTTATGCTGTTTCTCTGGATCAGATCTTGATTGTAGCAGCAGTGTAAATTTGAAGCATTGCTTCATGCATTGCTGTAGGTGCACAGAATTGTAGCTGAGATCAGGAGCAAGCCACCTGATTTTGCTTTGTCCAGGTTTCTCTGTGGCCCTGTTCTGATTCTTCACATACTCTAGTAACTCGCATCCTCTTACAGAGAACTTGCTTGTTCAACCTGTTGGCTTTTGGCATTGCACTCTTTCTTTTGGGAACTGTTTCCCGGATGATCTGTGCTTGTTTTTACTGTTTGGTTTTTTTACATGCTGTATTCACATCTTACAGCAAAATTATAAGCAAGCCCACACAGAAACAGGCAGATCAAGAGATAATCATCAAGGAATGTAACATCTTATGGCCTTCTCCCTGAGGCAGGATGGTACAGTGGCTTGGGATCTCACTTAGCTCATAAAAGGACAGTGCTCCATTCCCTGCCATATCAGATTTCCTGTATGACTTTGAGCAAATTGCAAGACTCTGGCCAGATGCTATTCCACTTACTGGGTGCTTATGCAGTCTTAATCTCCTACATCTGATCCTGTTTGAAAGTGCTAGCATCCCTGAAAAACTGTTAATGCAAAAGGCAGATGGATCTTCCTCCTCCTCCTCAGTGCATTATTGTGACAATCTTAAGGCTAAGATGATAGCATACAATGGAAGTAGCTGAGTTAATGGTTTTTAAGGGGCTTGAGAGGGGTGGAATTGGATCTTACTTAAGCACCCAAGTCCTATAAAAATGTATAATAGCACTGTATTATAGACTGTAAGATGCTCAAATACCATAGTAATGCAGACTGCATAAATGGTAAGACTCACTGTTTTTAAAACCAGACTGGAGAGAACAATATCCAACAAGGAGCAACACTGCACTGACAAGGAGAAATGGGCCACCAAATGGACCCCTTCTTTGAGGACAGAGGCCCATATTTGATGGCTGAATGTGGAAGCACTTTGCTATTGCAGTGTTTATGGAAGAGACTGACTCTTTCTGAGCACAGTACGGTACTATTGGTTTAGTTCAAAGCAGATCTTGTCTCTTTCATATTTATTGTGAGCTACTTATCAGAGAGGGGAGGAACATTCCTCGAACAGGTGTTGGGACTGCTTGAGTCACGCTGTGATGTGCTCCCCATCTCATATTTCACGTATCTTGTTTACCACATTGCCACAGTAGGGTTTTCTTTATAAGCCACAGTGCTGGGATGAAATTTCTTGTCACTGTAGTGCTGTTAATAATCTACTGAAGTCTAGGCTATCAATTCATCTGTTTCCAGCTACATAATTGTCTTGTTCATAAAATCTATCTACCTATCTACCCACCTACCAATTTGATTCTTATCACTGTAGCATTGGCATTCCACACATGCATACAAATACAAAAAAGTCAACTTGGCCAAAAGCTTATTTCTCTGTCTCTCTGCTGACTGGTCAGTATAGAGAGAAGAAAAACAAAGATAAAAGCAAAAAACACAGATGGCATTACAGAGAGCTTGAGAGATCACAGAATTTAAAGAATGATAAAGAGAGGGAGGAGGAGTCAGAAAATGACTGAGGAAAAGAGCAAGAAAGAGGGAGATCAGATAAAGAGAAAAGAAACAGGAGATGTCAGAAAGAGAAGAGGATGAAAGGAATTAAAACCCTCAGGAAGATGGTGTGAAAGTGATAGGTGGTGGGTATCATAGTAACACTAAATTCCCCCAGCTAGGATCAGAGCCTCATGGTGTTAGGTGCTGTACAAATGCAAGATAGAGTGGCTCCCTGCCTTGAGGAGCTTGCTATCTAATTTGGAATGGGAGGAAGGATGGGAGCCTAGCATCCAGTAGGAGGGCATGTGAGGGGAACGCTAATGAGACTGCATGGGGTCAGAGAGAGAGAGGGAGAGGGAGAGGGAGAGACAGGGTGTGTGGGTTAAGGCAGTGATTCTTTCCCAGGAAGCTGTTTAATCAAAAATATCGTATCTTGTCAGGAGTCAATGAACCAAAGTTAAAATGGGCACGTTATTATGCAAATCCCCTCACTGCCTGCTGGGAGGAGACAGGCCTAAGAAAACATAGACTTGAGCTGCTGCTGTGCTAATTGACAAGCAGAAAAACCCCACACTATCATTACTGCATTCTTTAACACAGCAGAAGAAGTAGAAGATTTGTGTGGAGAGAAACCTAATGATATAAAGTGGAAAAAGGAAGGCTCTATATTATATGGTCACCATCTCTCTCCCTTCTCTACCCGGCCTGCCTTACCTACCCATTCTGAAAAATGAAATGGGTTTTTTGCCTCACTCAATCTTTCTCCTCCAGAAAGTGAGGATGGACATTTCCAGGCCTGCTACATTGTTCGCTATCTGTTTGAGGTACTTTTTTTGGCCCTTTATTCACAGAGTAGGTGAATGCTTCTCAATCTCTGCAGTATCTACAGCAGCCCTGAAAGGGATAGAAGAGCTGCTATTCTCAAATGACAGGCAAATGAGGGAGAGAGAAATACATAGTGATTTGCTCAAGGTCCCACAGGAACAGGGAACTGGACCCAGATTTCTCATGTCTTAGTCTTGCATTCAAGCCAGTGCATCCTCCTCCTTGCTGAAGCAGCATTTCTATCTGTAGCTTGTTTTATGTCCAGACTAGAATATGTGTCTTACTGTGATGGGTTAGGTTTAAGTTGGGTTTGGTCTATACTTAATACTTTTGTCATCATCTCTATGGTGGTCAGGAGCCTGAAAAAAATAAAAATCAAAATCATACCACAACTGATTGCCAGCTTCCTTATGTGGACACAGCTATTTGGACAGGCAAGTGTGGATGCTGTGGAAACACTCATGGAAGTTCTTGGGAAAACCACAAAACTTTGTGTCTTGGACTCTCTCAAGCTTGTTAGTGTCTTTGGTGAGACCTCAGCTGGAGTACTGCATCTAGTTCTGGGCACCATACTTTAAGTGTTGAGTGGAGCGGAAGAATCACCTCTTTGGTTTTGCTGGAGATGCATCAATTGATGCATACCAGAGTATTATTTGCCCTACTGCTGGTTCATATTCATACTGTGGTCTGTTATTACCTCCAGGTCCCTTTCCTTCATGGTGCTAGCTAGTTTGGTGCCGCCAAGCCTGTAGGCGTGTTGGGGGTTGCTTATCCTGAGGTGGAGCAGTTTCAACATGTCTCGACGTTGAACTTCATCAGATTCTAATTTTCCCAACTTGCTAGCCTGTCTAGGTCTGCTTGTATCTGTAGCCTATCTTCAACCATGACCATGCTTCCACATAACTTAGTGGCATCTGTGATCTTGGCCAGTTAACTGATGTCAACTGAGTTTTTTCGCAGTATGAGACATCAGTTCTCCACATGGAATGACTTATATCATTAAAAAGACATTTTTGCTGGCATAACTAAGAAGCAAGAGAAGGCAGTAGCTACAGCAAAGCTTTTGTGCTCACGTAATTACCCTAACTCATCGCTAATCTTTAGTACTTCAGGGACAGGAGTTACTAATGGGATTCCCATATGCAACACTGGAGGCACGTCTGCACGAGATGCTACATCGCTGTAGCGTGTTGCGACATAGTTCATTGCTATGGCAACATAGCATTGGCAGGCCTTAACTATGATGCTGCCACTACAGCAGAGTAGCTCATTGCTACTGCACAGTAGTGGTGGCATTGCTTGTTGCTAGTGCACAGTAGGGTTAAAAAAAAGACCCAGGTGGTGCCAACTGTGCAGTCAGGGTTATGTGTAGATGCGCCCTGGGACATGCAGTTACCTGGATGCAGATAGTTCTGGACTCTATGGCTGCAGGGGGCCAGTGGCAAGGTACGTTGTTGTTTTGCTGTTCCCCACTGTAGCAGTTATTGGGCAGTCCCTTGTGTTTGGCGTGCTGGCTTGAAACAGCAAAGCATATTCTGGGAAAAGCTGTAGGAGATATGTGAAATACTTACTGTGATCAGAAGGTTTGTATAGTCTATGTCCTGGATGTCTGAACGGTGGCAACACATAGGAGGTGCATGGGGGTACATGTGCACCCCCTGAGACTGCTGGTGTTCCCCCTGACAGCCAGCATTTCCCGCTTACCTGATGGACCGGAGAGGGGCAGTCAGGAGCTCTGGTGCCCCCCTCTCCCTTTGAGAGTGCTCGCCAGGGAGTGGGGGTGCCAGGAGAAGCAGCACTGGCACTTCCAAGTTGGCTCGATTGGCTGCGGAGGGAGTCCCCCCCGCCCCGGCTGCTGACTGGCTCCTGGAGGGGAGGCAAGTGCCTTCCCCAACTCAGGAGTCCTCATCCACCCATGGGTCTGATCCCCTTCAAATGATGGAGGGCTTTGTGGGTCAGGTTACCCTAGAAGAGCCAGTCATTTTTCAATTCCCAAGAACTCAGGTAGCAACAGGGAACAGGTAATTAGCACTCATATCTCCAGCTCTGTCACCTGTTTTTAATCCTCATGCTTGCTTGAGTTGCTGAGATAAAGTAATGTCACATCAGGCAGTAAGACTCAGCCTGTAGGAAATCTTAACACAGCGCATCTATAATAAGCATGAGATCCGTGAGAAGGTGCATGATGTGATGTTACTGACATGGAAATTCAAACCGAGTCCTAAATCTTCCATTCTACTATGTTTCTTATCTCATTACTAAAACTAACTGTTCCTGTCCTTGTGGAGTTCTTATGCCAGTTGTGATCTCATTGTAAACTTAATGCCTGTGCTTATCCAGTGGAATCCATTTCTGAACCATTAGAATATACCTATTCTAAGACATAGGGAAATCGCATATTTGTTTCCTGCTGGAGGCCTGACTCAGATTCCAGGAGGATAAAAACTGTTGTTAAAATTCTATTAGGATGTAGTTGAGTTCAGAAGCAAAGTCCTCATCAAGATATGCACAAGAAGATTCACCTAGTTTGAAGACCAAAGCAATGAATGGAATTTGCTAGCATAGAACAAACCAGGCCAGCTTCTCAAGTTGTGTTATTCAGTGTTGACTTCAATGGAGCTGCAGCAGTTTACACAAAGACAAGTTCTAGTGTGAGAACTGCCAGATTCTTCTTTCAGAAATTATGGAAGCTCTTGCATTTTGGTTTCAGGGTCATCAACTTTATCTGTATGATGAGAAATAGAAGGGAAATAAAAGAGTACTGAGTTTGCAAAGGTGTCTAGATCATTAGTAATGGTGCTTCCCTGCCTGCTAAATTCAAGTTCTGAAGTTACCAGACAAGATGAAATAGATCTGAGGGTGATAGAAGGCAAAAATTCGAGGTGAGCTGGCAATGTAATAGAGCAGCAAATAATGCCTGATGTAGAGGTTGTATGCACAGAGGCCTCTTCTCATGGAGCAGAGAGACAATAGATCCTTTCTGTGTGTGTGACTGCCATAATGCTGAATTCAGTTCTGCTCACCTCTTTACTAGAAGGATATTGACAAATTGAGGAAGTTCAAGGAAGAGTGATGAAAATTATTAGTGGGGTCAAATGGTCTAGCCAATGAGAAATGATTAAAAAAATCTAATTATGTGCAACTTGGTTCAGTGACATCTAAGAGGTCAATAAGAGTCTATAAATATTTAAAACAGCATAAACACCACAATGGAGAAGAATGATATACGAGGACAAAAAAAAAAAAAAAAGATTAGAAAAAGGGGAATCTAGGGTGAATATCAGGAAATCATAACAATGAAATCTACTGTATTAGGCAACAGAACAGTCTCCCAAGGGGAACAGAGAAATCTCAGTGCTTGGGAAATTGTGAAGTACTTTGGCCAGTCTAGATTTCAATGTCCTGTAGAGATCCTTCCTGTATCAGTCATGGAATGAACAAGATAGTGTTCTTTTCTATCAAAAAGTTGGATTATAGGATTCTCTCATTATTTAGTTTCAATATATCAGTAATTTCATCTGCCTCACAAGGGAGGCTCTCCATACCAAATACCCACTTGGCTTAAAATAATATAGCTCCATGGATATATGTTAGTTGAGAATCTGGTCCCGTCTTCCAATTTCTCTTTTGCATCAAATCCCTAAATTGATCAATCACAAAAGGTTCCCTGAACTATAAAGGCTTCTAAGTTCTAGTATGCCAAGAATAGCTTCAAGTTGTAATATGACAAGTTCTAATGAGTACTAAATGCAAGAAATATAATGAAAGCACTTACAAGTTCTTGCTTCTGGAGTGCTATTAGGATGTAAGAAAAGGATTCACCAAAACATTTTCAGAGTGGACTTGCATTAGGCTACGGAAACTGTCCAATAGGGTTCCTATACTCATTTGAAATCCCATAGACAAACTTTCTGAATTTCATCCTTGTGGTGATTACAACAATTGTTTATGTGACCCAGTGGTGAGTGCAAGTTATGGGATCTTGTATGCTGATCCATACAGGCTAAGAGTCCTCATAGCTTACAGCTAAGGACCCCTTTAGCAAAACTTATAACAACTAGTGTTTTCAGCCTTGGAAATTCTTGATTCAGCCCCTGGCCAAATGGCAGATATCACATCCTTATGAGAAAGTTAAATTAGGGAAGTATTTTGGACTTCTTAAAAATAGAAGGTTAGTAGCTGGAAATGAGATGTGCCACGTGGCCCATGAATTCTCCATGGACCATCAATGGTCCACAGACTAGTTTGACACACTCTGGTCTAAAGGGTTCTGAACTATTCCTACATTATTGTCATGGGATGGGGTCCCCTGGGATGGCCGTGATACCCCTAAGGCTCCTTGACCCTGCCAATCCTGCCCTACAGGCACCCTCCTTCTCTCCTGCCACATCTTGCTGTAACTGTACTAGATAGGGAGGCTACCCTCAAGTTTGTATTTTTGGACACGGTCCTGATGGACCCCACTGAACTCTATGGGTTCTCAGACCCCTTTTGGGTCCCGCTCCAAAATGGATGCTTCTCGGGACACCCTCAGCCTTATGGGCTAGAAAAGTGTGGCTCCAAACCGCCGCTTTACCATGCCCTAAGCCTCACAGATGGCATTCACACAGTGTCCCTCTGAGGCCTTAGTTTAACTTGGCCTCTGGTTGTCACTGGGCTCTCTGCCGCCCTGTCTTTCTCTCTCTGCACCCCTTGGCACTGGGGTCTGCTCACCCCCTTTGTCACCACACCCACACTGATGCTGGGGTCCCCACACTGCAGTGGGCCCCAATGAGGCCTCCTCCTTCCCCAGTAGCCTCAGCCCAATCCACCAGTTTACAAACAGAAATCAAAATACAAGCCCCTGGGCTATAACATAATGCAAGCAGCTCAAAGTGTGCTCTGTCCATTTAAAAGAATCACCCTTCCCCCCAGCGCTACATGCCTTGTAGGCCAGGGTATTTGTTGAGCTCCTGAAGTCCCTTAATCTTACCAGAAGCCAAACGGAGAGTCAAACCTCTTCACTTAGCTTCCTCTAGGAGAGCTCTTTCCCCCTTGGTTGCTGGTAGAGAGCTGACCCTCTGGTCCCAGCCCAGGGGTTTATATATGCCCCAGGCCCTGCCCCTTCTGGTCAGCTGACTGCCAGCAGGTGCGGGCTAATTCACTTATTCCTGCTAACTTGCAGCTGAGGGGTTCCTGACTGACTGCTAGGGCTCCCTCCCTAGGCAGTTTCAGCCTTTAAAGGAGCAGGCACCTTAGTCCCCTGCAACAATTATCAACAGAAAATGGAAGGAACAAGTTCGAATTTGTACCCCTATCCATAAAGCTAGAATATCAATAAATTAAGGCTAAAAAATTCAGGCATTTATAATCATAAAAAAACTTGGAATAAAGAGCAAAATTAAACCCAGAGACTAAGGGTCTGATTCTAATTCATCAAATATCCCCACTGCTCACAGTCCCTAATGAAAACATGTGTAACAAGCCCTCAGGGTTAATTTTACAGAAAAAAATTCCAATAAAGCTTCATGAGATTTTTCACATTAAATTAATGTAACGGATGCTTAAAAGCCTTTCTAATTAGGCATTGTTATTAACAGGAATGTCAGGTGAATGAAATCAGCCCCTAAGCTGACATTTCTCTCATGTGAACTCCAATGTTGGTATTTAATTTGCACCACATTGCTACTGCAGTGTAATGTAGTCACAGATTTGCTGCTGTTGTGCAAAATGCTGGTATTCCTGAGATATTCTATGGCAATTCCCTGTGCACTCCACCAACCCTCTCATTTGTGGTATATTCATGTTTCTGTCATTCCTTGGAAATAATAATTTAAATGAGAAGCAAGCAGTGAAGCTTGTAACTTCACTGGTTTGATGAGCAATCACATTATTTTTTTCTGGAGTTTTGTCCCCAAGAGAGCACCAGAACAGGTTAGATCGTGATTCCATCTGCTGTGATCCAGTATAGCTACCCTAAACAAGAATTGCCTATTAAAGAAAAGAACTATGCACTATAAACACAAATCAACACTTCCACACAAGTTGAGTTCCCGCTTTGTTTCTGTTGTTTACAAGGAACTACATCTTGCTTATTTTTCTCACACAGGTATCTAGAGGTTGAATAATGTATTTCAAGTAAATATTATGACCCCATGGCAGGGGCCTCTGTGAGTTCTGTTCTGACTCTGGGTACCATGTCCTCTGTACCGAGAGCTTAGAGTACCAGGTTCTTCAGTTTCTGGCCTTTTGCATTTTGAATGTTAGGGGGTGCTTTATTAGGACTGCTAGAAACTGAAAGTTGCCACTACCTTAGAAAAAATCAGTGTAAATTACTGGAAGAAAGAAGAAGTGCAGTTCCTAATTTAGCCCCTGAGGGCAATCAGGGATGTAAAGGAAGAATCCAATACTTCCTTTACCCACTTTTGCCCTGAATCCTCCCACTGAATCTCTGATAGCAAAAGGATCCAGTTGCAGCTTTCAGGCCTCTGGCCACACATGATTCCAGCAGCTAATTTCTGAGCCTTGTCCCCTTTGACATTCTTGTCCCACACTCCAGGGATCCTGGAGCTTTTAATTGGGGAATATAGGAGCTTTCAACTTGGTGATGAAGTAGGTCCCCCTAGATTTGTTGGGTGCTGACAGATGTGCAGATCCCCGCTTTAACTAATGCACTTCCCATAAAGCACCATGAGTTAGTCCGAGCTCCCCCAATCCAACAGACCTTTGAACTTCACTTGGACCATATCCAGTGGAAGAGATGACTTCCTGCAGCCCCTCTCCCCTCTCCCCCCCTCCCCCAACCAAGCTCCAGTGCTATCTGCAGGAAGAGAGGTTTTCTGCTCCTGCAACAACTTCATACTTAAATAGAGCACCTCCCACACACCCAAGAAGATTTCCTTTGAAGATGTGTGCTCCTTTTTCTCCTAAGAGGAGCTCTGCCCATCATTAGCTAAGGTATTGATGAGATATAGCCTATGCCCATGATGGCTAGGTAGACAGCTTAGGACAATGTTCAGGTAAGATGTGCTTGCTGCTTAGAAATTCATGGAGATGCATTGGATTTGCATGGAAAAGATCTGCGCCATAAACACTCCCTTGTTCCTGGAAGGCATCTAAGCAGAATAAAAAATTACCATCTTGTGGGAAAATCTGATATTTCAACTTTTGTTTTCATCCCAATTTGGGAAGAAAAGTTGAAATTTTGAAATGTTTCATGATCTGGAATTTTAAACAAACAAACGGCAATATCTAAATATTTTGTATCAACATTTTCAATTGAAATACATTATGTTGTTTTTAAATCATGATGTTGTATTTTACTTTACTGATGTGTCCCCACTGGCTTCATTTCAAGTCAATTAAACATAAAAAGCTACTGCCTCATGGGATTTGGAGTTTGTCTTCTCCCCATTGTCTCCTGTGATCTAGGTGGGTCTATATCTCTACGAATGTACCCAAAGTAAAATGACTGCCATGATGAAAGAACTCAGCAGAAAATGTTTCATTTTGGTGGTGTTGGAGTAATGTTGCGGCCTTGATAGTCTAGGAAATATATGAGGCAAGGATTTGTGTGGGTGATACTTTTTATTGGACTGACTGCATAGTTGGGATAGATTCAGACAAACTTTCAAATGTATTGCATTCAGGTGACCTGGCCTTCTATTTCTTCATCAGGTGTCCTGAAGAAGAATAAACTGCATTTGGAAGCTTGTCTAAATCTATCTCAATCATGTTGTTTGTCCAATTAATATATCACCCACAAAAATCCTTGCCTGTTGCATATTTCACTTTATTTTTCCTGTTGGAAAATAAAAAAGGCATAAATCAAAATTTTACTGCAGGCAATTTTCATGTTGTGGAAACTTCATTTTCTATTAATAAAGCATTCTGAGAATCTAAAAGATTGTCTCTTACTATGGGTATGTGCAGCAGCTAGCACAAATGGGCCTTGGGCAATCTAAAAAGACAAGATGGACAAGAGATGGTGGAAAGGAAGGATCAGTACCCTCAATTTATGGGTGAGGAACCAGTATGCAGAGAAACTAAATAACTTGTCCAAGTTCACAAAGGGAGTCTTTGATGGGACAAGGAATTGATTTGAAATCTCCTGAGTCATGGTCTGGTGCCTAACCTACAAGATAATCCCACCTTTCAAATCTGACTAGTGATAATACTGGGAGTATATTATATTTAGATTAGATACTTATTTAGTCTGTACTTCTCTAGAGGTCCTTTGCTACTCTCAGAATTTGCCCCTACTTCCTTCTGTCAAGGCATATTTTCCTGTATATTACCTCTTGTAATATACAGTATATACAGTGGCCATATCTACACATGTGCTTAACATGTGTAGACTAATTAGCTGTGGAGTAAAGTGTCATTGTCTACACATGCGATGGTATTAAATCACAGTAAACTAATTAATGCTGCAGTAATATAGTATTGTCAGGGATAGTATTATTTTACACTGGAGTGATTTACTGTGATTAAATGCGTATGTAGATGCTGACTGTGGGTCTAAATTGCATCTGGTCAGCCCAGCCAGCTGGGGGTCAGATTCCTGCCTGCCACCTGGTCACATGGCTTTGCACTTTTGGTACCCGTGTTCCCCAGCCAGCCCTACCACACAACGCCACCACCTGGAGCCCTGGGTTGACTCCCCATGCCCCTCCCAGTTTGGCCTGCTCCGGCCCTTCTCAAATTGCTGCTGTCCTGGGAGCATGTGTAGTTTACTCTGGCTCAAACTGCTTCAGAGTTTATTGCTTCTCATTAATTACATGTGTAGGTGCACCCAGTAAGAGCTTTTAGATCTTGCTCACCATTTATCCCTCCATCTTATCTTTGGTCAGCCATTTAATCTCAAACACTATAGAAATAGCCTTTCTATAGAGGCTTTGGTGGCCTGTCTACTGTCATTTAAACCACATGCTCTCCCTACTGAAGTTGTTATAGTTTCACTGCATGTACTATACATAGCTTGTCATAAACCTCACAGAACTCTTTAGATCTTTTTCACAAATCGTTATTTTACTGCGCCAAAATTAATCTGAATACTTTATTATGAAAATATTTAGCTGTCTTCCTTCTTTGTAAGTGTTCAGGGCTCCTGTCCATATAAAACACTGGGCCTTAAACTACTCTTGTATGTCTGAAGTCTGTTTTTTCTCAGGTGACATGTGGAACTAAATCTCTCTGCTGAGAAAGTAACAGGCACTACTACTTTCTATCTATCCCTTAAATTCCCTCTTCATCAAATTGTAATTAGAAATTAATGCTCCTAGGTATTTCATCTGTCCAACTTTTGTATCTACGGTTATTGACTGCTAGATATAGCTATCTGAGATCTTCTTGTTTGCCCACAAACATGTATTTTGTTTTATCTTCATTGATCTTCAGTTCCATTTTTCTTACTGCTTCCTTCAAGTCTCATCCATCCTTTGTACCATATCTGTTGCTTCTACTAAGATGGCCAAATCAGTAGCATGTCCAGAAAATGGGTGAGGACCATTTAAATCCATCCCAGCCTAAAAAAGGCTAAACTATTCAAATGTGTAAAAGTATGAGCCAAGTGTGCTGAGTTCTTTCCCTGACATTTGCCCTTCATACAACTCTTGAACTCTTGGTCCAATTTTACAACAGTCAGTTTATTTTGTGGTGTGCTCTGCAGGATCTCTGCTTAGCTTATAATGACCTGAATTTCTCAAATGATTTACAGCTGAATCCCATAATGGCCTGTCACCTCTGCTCCCGCCTGCTCTGCTGCCCCATGACTCCAGTTTTCCCCTCTTAAAAGTTTAGAACAAAGAACAAAACTGGGCCTGAATGATACTAAACTGATTTGCTATGATTATGAGGAGATAATTCACAGGCACAAATTATCCTTTTGTTTCTTGTTGAAGCTACTGCATGTTGCCGGGGAGAGAGTGGCATGAATGCCTAATGAATTTTCCAGAGAAGAAGGGAGATAAATCTCTCCTCACAGAGAAGTCAGACATGGTGTTTTCATATCGCCTGCCTCTGGGAAGGTCTCTCTCTCTCTATCTCCATCAGTTTCACCATATACTT